CGGCCTCGGCCTTGGCCAGGGCTTCCTTGGCCTTCTCGACCGCTTCCTTGGCTGCCTGGACCTTGGCAGCACAGTTGGCCTTCTTTTTCCGAGCTTCCGTGACCTTCCGATTCTGGGCACTGACGTTGCTCTCGAGCGGCTTCTCGGACTGCAGCTGCTCCTGCAGGGAAGTACGCTCCGCCAGAAGCTTGGCGCGGTACTCGGCATCCGAGGTCCCCAGCGACTTGAGAATGTTGCCAATCTCTGCCAGACGAGTGCGCCGTGCAGCCTGAGGACTGGCGTCGGTGGCCCAGGGCGGGACTGGAGCAGACGCGGCGCCGGTGTCAGCCGACGGCTGCTGCAACTGCTGCAACTGGCGTTGAAGGTCGGCGAGCTGTCGCGCCAGGGCAACTTCACGCTGAGACTGCATCGCTGGGCTGCGCGCCACGGGGACCTTGGGCGGCGGCACTCCTCCGAACGCCGACCCCTTGGGCAAGTTGCATAGCGCGCACCACTTGTGATCAGCACGATTGATCCAAGCTGTCCCAGTGGGCTTGTGCACGCACCACTTGCACTTCCAAGGCTGCGCGTTCTCGACACGCTGCTTGGGTCCCATTGCGCACAGCTCCACAGGAGAGCAACTAGCCACCGACCAGCGCACAGCCTAGTCGTGGCGCCAACACTGGTGAGGGAGCCCAACCCCTCGGTGTAGGCGAAGAAACTGTCGAGCGCAAGCGCTCTGGCACTGCCGCGGACTAGCGGTATCCGTGAATGCCAATACGGGCTCAGCCCGCAACAGCATGAGCCTTGAGCCAAAATGGCTACGGACTGCCTGGAGGAGGAGGAGGAGGAGGAGGAGGAGGAGGAGGAGGAGGAGGAGGGGGGAGGAGGAGGAGGAGGAGGGGGAGGGGAGGAGGAGGCGGGGGAGGACGGGGGGAGGAGGAAGGAGGAGGAGGAGAGGAGGAGGAGGAGAGGGGGAGATGAGGATGGAGGAGGAGGAGGAGGAGGAGGAGGGGAGGAAGCAGGAGGAGGAGGAGGAGGAGTTTGTACCGCGCCGTCGGGCGCCGGAAGTCAGCGGAGGCATGGCGGGGGGAAGGGGGGTGGACGGCCCAGCGCCGATGGCGAGCCCAGGGGCCGAGCGGCTGCCTGCCCAGAGAGTGCACTCGTGGCCCCCGCTTCATGGCTCTGTCGTCGTCCGCCTCTCCTCCTCCTCCTCCTCCTCCTCCTCCTCCCTCCTCCTCCTCCTTACCTCCTCCTCCTCCTCCTCCTCTGCTCCTCCTCTCCTCCTCCTCCTCCTCCTCCTCCTCTGCCTCCTCTCCTCCTCCTCCTCCTCTCCTCCGCCTCCTGCCTCCTCCTCCTCCTCCTCCTCCTCCTCCTCCTCCTCCTCCTCCTCCTCCTCCTCCTCTGCCTCGACCCTCATCGAGCCTCGATCCCCCTCGAGCCTCGATCCCCCTCGCAGCCTCCTGGAGCCTCCTCGAGCCTCGGGGGGAGGGGGCGGTGGCGGGGGAAGGCACCTCGAGCTGGCGGTGGCCTCGCGGCTGCGTGGGCCGCCCCACGAGGAGCGCGCCTGCCGCCGCAGGCCCCCGCTGCCCTCGGAAGTGGACACACACAGACACACACAGACACACACACACACACACACACACACACACACACACACACACACACACGAATGCGAGTTTAGCCGCAATGCACGAGGGGAAAAGGGGGACGCCCCGGGGGCATGAAGCCTGGCCCGCTCAGAGCGGGGCCAGGCGGCGGCGGGGAAGAGACACACACACACACTTTTCCATATGGGCCAAGAGGATGCGGGTGTCAACCCAATACAACCGATGGCAAAGGCACCTGGGCGAAGGAGAGAAGGCACTGCTGTGCGAGCAACAGGCCTCAAAGACGAAACGCGCATACACACATACGTACATGCGTACACACATACGTGCATACACACCTTTGTGTCGCGTGAGCGGCCCGATGAGACACCACCAGAGCGGTACGGATGCATCGACCAATGCAACTGGCGGCGATTGCTCACTGAGACCTGGGGAGCACACCCAGTCGCAGGGGACGAGGCACGAGCCGAGCACAGCGCACTCTGAGATCCTCCGATCGCGGACCACACGAAGGCGGGGCGGATCGCAACGCTTGAGGAGCGATGCCACCGCACCGCGGCTCGCGAGCTACACTTGTTACTACTCCGCCGGCTGCGTGAAACACGATCGCGGCACACACGGCGCCGCGAGGCATGCCCATGCCCTGAAAACGTGCCCACGCGCAGACGATGGAGTGGAGCGGAGGTGAGGAAGTTTTAGGAGGAGGAAGATTGAGGAGGAGGAGGAGGAAGCGTGGGAGGAGGAATGGGGAGGAGTGAGGCAGAGCGAGGAGGATAAGCCGAGACACATCTGTCATATGCGGCGCAATCCAGCCCGAGTAAAAACGGGGCGGGAAAGGAGGAGTGTGCAGAGCGAAGCGCGGGCGGGGGGGGCCGCCGCGGCGGCGGCGGCAGCAGGAGCGACAGCCGGAA